TTTGACCCACTTTATTTTCTGCTGCTAAAGGAGAAGTGCTGGATGGATTGGTGTAAGCATTTAAGGCACTGTTTAGAAGCAGACTCTAACCCCAGAGTCTTGCCTTGGTGCCTAGCAGCTCGTGCATTTTACCGGGTAGGTGGCATTAGCTGTTATTTGTAGGAGCTGACTGCTCTGTATTGCAGGAGTAGCTCTGAGATCCAGCCACATCTTGCTGCCCATCAGCAAGGCAAAAAAAGGCCTTTTTTGCCTTTAAAAACACTGCATACATAAGGATCTTGATACAACAGCGCATCACTCATCTGCTTGTCCATCACCGCAGTCACTGCATCTACTGAGCGCCAGTGGCAGCGGCATCAAGGTGAGGTTTTCCAGAGAAGAGAGGATGGGCTGAAGTGGCCGTCACCTGTGGGACAAAGCAGGACAGTGTGTGCTGCAGTGTCTGCTGCAGTCACTGCCTTCCAAAGGAGATTTTATTCTCCTGTGGCAAATCCAGCATAAAAATAGCTGCTGGTGGAGGTATCGCCCGCAGCAGAGCAGCAAGCCAGGATGTGCTGCAGACAAACAGGGGTTTGTGTTGGGGGTTTAAAGTCAAGCAGCATTTTAGCATCCAGATGGGCTAATTGCAGATGCCGTTATCGTGACAGCTCATGTCACTCAGCTCAGTGTGCACCAGATCCCCAAAGGTTCGAGTGCTGGCACTGGGGCCCTTCCCCATACGGGCTGGCTGTGGGTACAGAACCAGCGGTTTGAGGCCATTCTTTGAAGCAGGCAAACTTGGTACCAGTCTCACAGCCCCGTTCCCTGTTGTCTCCTAAACTGGCCATGAAGGAAGATCTTTCCTCTGGTGAGGTTCTGCAGGAGCTGCTGAGCTTCTGCTCTTCCCTGTTGTGCATCATATGTAGCATCACACAGTGGGGGCTTTGGGGTTTTAGGAGACGGGGAGGGCTGAGCCCTAACTCAGGTGTTTTGGTGGATACAGTGTAGAACATCCAGTTTCTTGCAAGGAAGTTTTACTACATGGTGGAGCTCCAGCCCATGGGAGCCCGTACATTTAAACTGCAGGAAAGGGGGAGTAAACACAGGTCAAGTTCTTTGGAGCTGTTTGTGTTCACCTTTCACAGGTGCAGAGTGTGAAGCTGTCCCTATAGAGTCCCTGTTTTCTCCTCTTCCAGAAAGGAGTGAAGGGTGTTTCCCACCTCAGATAAAGGGAACTTCCTGACGCTGGGAGTGAAGAGTTTTAGAGGGGAAAGGAAGATCTGGAAGTGGGTTTGCTGAAGCTGGGGCGTTGTGGGAAGGACAGAGAAGGTATCGAAGACCCTGTGAACTGGAGGGAAGTGAAGGACAGTGAGGCTGGAGCCAGATTACAGAGAGAGAAGTTCAGGCTGTAGGAGAAAATAGTGGTAGGACCCCAGGAGGGAAAATCTCCTTGCTTCAGCTGCCTTTCCTTCTGCCAAATGTCCTGTTACTTCTCCTGGAAGAGGATACAGGGGTCGATGGTCTGTGTTTTGCTGCAAATGGCATCCCAGCCACAGTCCCACACTTCCCCATGGAAAGGGCGCACAGAAGGGCAGCGAGGCCGGGACTGGCCGGGGCAGCTGCTGGAGAATGGGCAGCATCCCTGTGCCAGGTCCTCACCTCCTCTCTGAAGACAGGGAAAGGGAAGCATCTGCCCTTGGGCGTTTGTAGAGCCCAGGACAGGCTGTGCTTCCTCCCGAGGGCAGAGAGAGGCTGTGCTGGATCACTGGAGAGACACGGAGACGGATGATGTTTTACTTATGCAAAGCTCTGCACCATGAGCCCTACTTGCTTGCAAATAAGCAAGTGATCTTTTTAATCCAGTGCAGAGTCCAACAGAGCATGCATATAAAACAGTGCATGTGGCTGAGAGCAAGGGCACAGCACCAGAGAACCACCAGACAAAGGGAGAGGGGACAAACCCTGCGGCTCATGGGGTGGCTCTGCTGAGCAGGGGTGGTTTGGTGGGTAAACCAGTCCCAAGGCTTTGTGCTGCAGGTTGTTTCTGCAGGGTTCCTGGAGTGACCACTGTTTGGAACCAGGTTTTGGTGAAGGTTGAGCTGCTCACACTGGTATCTGTTACAAAGTTGGTGGTGAGCAGAGATTCAGTGGAATGGCAGCAGCTCTCTGGAAGGATCTGCCTGTATCATTAATCTGCCACCTGATTTAATTGTGAGCTGGAATCCAGAATGGCACATTATCTGCTAGTTTTGTCCTTGTGAATATCCAGTGGAAGGAGATTAATAATCCAGATGGCTGGTAAAATGTTTGTTTTATCATGCTTTGTGATTATTATGAGACTGTCAGCCCTCAGAGCCTATTCAAGTAAAATGTCCTCTATATACAGTGTGTGCATTCAGCAGTCTAAATATATAATAATTACAGGTCAGCTCATGTTGGAACGGTGCCATTTGGTGATTTTATGCACCATTTGGGGATAGCTGCAAGTTGATAAATCACATTTCTACAGATTTTATATCATAGAATGGTTTGGGTTGGAGGGGACCTTAAAGCTCATCCAGTCCTAACCCTCTGCCATGGGCAGGGACACCTTCCACTAGACCAACTAGATGGTTGCTCCAAGCCCCGTCCAGCGTAGTGAACACCCTACTTACAGGTAACTGTGGACTGGGCTAAAATAGGAACCTTTGCAGCATTGTCTGAATCAACTAAATATGACATTTAATGTTACTGGGAAAAACCAGTGTCACCCCCAGTTTGCCTCTTCCACCTTCCTGTCGCCTGCAGCACACCACCCTTGTGGTTTGAGCGAGCAGGGCAGTGAAGCAGAGAGGATCTGGCCCGGGGTGGTGGCGTTGGGTCAGAGGACACATTAACACTTAAGGTGCAGCCTTCCCTTGCCCCAGAGCAGCCCAGCTCCTTCCCAGCACAGGCACAAGAGGATTTGAGAGCTGAAGTTGCAAACCCAACTTGTACTGTATCGCATCAAAGGTCTCTCTGGCCAAATTATTGCTTATGGATCATGGAATCATGGAATGGTTTGGGTTGGAAGGGACCTTAAAGCTCCTCCAGCTCCAACCCCTGCCACGGGCAGGGACACCTTCCACTAGAGCAGGTTGCTCCAAGCCCCTGTGTCCAACCTGGCCTTGAACACTGCCAGGGATGGGGCAGCCACAGCTTCTCTGGGCACCCTGTGCCAGCGCCTCAGCACCCTCACAGGGAAGAACTTCCTGTTATGAGTGCAAGAGTTTGATGAGCTCAAAGTGATTCGTCCAAGTCCGTATTTCAGGGTGTGCATGAACTTTCTGTGCCCTCCACTTGAACATAAAGTCTGTCAGCCTCAAAAATATTCATGACAAATGTCACTGGTAAGGTGGATTATCCCTTTAGAGATGCAGAGAGCCTCCACCAGTTGAAGTGATTGGCCCAGGGTCAGCAGCAGAGCTGCCAAGATACCTCATCTCTGTGAGTCATGGTCCAGACTGCAAGTGATCCCCTGGAAGAACGATCCTCGCTTGAATTAGGTGGAACTTCAGAGGTTAAGACAGGAAGCAGGAGTGTTTGAGCAGCGCAGTGGGATTAATCCTTTCAGCGGCTGAGGCTGCAGAGTGCGGGGACGAAGCGCGTTCGGCGTCCTCTGCTGCTGATAAAATTGCTGCATGTTTTTAATCTAAAGTAGAAGTCGTCTCGATTAGAACTGTGGGGTTTTTTTCCTTTTGGGAACATGAATCCTAGCAGGAAGGAGCGAAAATTTCATTAAGGAAATAAGCAGGTCTCCCGAGATTCCCAGATGTGGCAGCGGGGAGTGTTCCTGCAGCGCACAAAAGGCAAAGCAAATTCTGAGGGTTTCAAAATTCATGAGCGTTTGCAAACTTGCTATTTGCCTTCGAGTTCCCAAGCCTGTAGGATTCCTGCTTTCAAGCTTTTCCCTCTACTGGTATTAGATCTGTCCTGCTTTATTTTGTAAATGAAAATGGAATTTTCTCTCATGATCACTTGACTTCAGGAGGTTGAGCTTTATAAATCCAAGTTCTCTCTTAGTTTACACGTTCAATGTTGTGGGTTTTGTTTGGTGATGGAAAGAAAGTGCAGTGTGCTGAAAACGTACTGGTCCTTTTCAGGGATTTGGGGGGAATTTGTTCCACTTTAGAGTGTTCAGTGCCCAGGGGTGCTTGCACCCCATCCACAGCTGCCCTCAGCCCCCAGGTCTGAGGAGGCTTGTTCAGCCGCTCTGATCTCTGTGTGGTTCAGGGATCACCACCTCAGGATGCTGAGATTGGGCATTTGCCCGAGTGGAAAGGCTCTTCATGTGAAATGATGAGGAAAGCTGCTGTGAAATGAAAATCAATGCTCATTCACAAATCCTGGCCTGGGAGGTTTACAGAAACAGCAGTGCCACAACCCGGTCAGCCTGGGCTGCCGGACACGTTCCTGCAGGTTCTGAACCAGGCGCATCTGGACCTTCTGAGGTGCACCTGTAAAGTGCAAAGGGCTTATCCCTCCCCCCAGAGGTTTCCTCCTGTTTGGACAGACCCCAGCTGGTGATGTGTGGGAACTGGCCAAGCAGGGCTGTACCCCAGTAACTGCCATTTCCTGTGGTTGCTCTGTTTTATCTATGTCCATCCTGGCTCAGAGCACTTGACAGCATCCAACAGTCCAGTTACATTTCACATGATTATTTTATATTTGGGACCAAAACTGCCAACACTTGAAATCCCTTTGCTTAGAAGGGGGGCTTGGCAGTGTGCGGGGAACCACTGGGGGCTGGTTGCCCCGTAATTGAAAAGGGACTGTCTGGGCTGAAAGCTGCTGACAAGAGCATCACTCTAAGGAGGAAGTTGGTCCAGTATCTCCCCATGGCTTGCAGCCCAAGACCCAGCCTGCTTTCACTCGTTGGCTTCCTGATGCTTTAAGCCTGTTTCTCTCCCTTCTTCCCCTCACAGCTATGGGTAAACCAGGAAGATGGAGTGGAGGAGGGAACCAGCGACGTGCAGAATGGCCACTTGGATCCAAGCGCCGACTGCCTGTGTCTCGGCAGGACCGTTCAGAACCGAGACCAGATGAGAGCCAACGTCATCAATGAAATCATGAGCACGGAGCGCCACTACATCAAGCACCTCAAGGACATCTGCGAGGTACATGGGGGTCATGGAGCTGGGCTACTGCAGCAGGACGTGGGGTGGGCTCTTGACAGCTGTGGTCTGGGCTTGTCCTTGGGCGATGAGGGGAAAAGGTGCAGTGGGTTTGAGTGCTGTGTCTAACAGAAGGAGCAGTGTCTGTCAGTAAGGATTGATATGCTGGATCTGATCATTACCCTGAGGTTGTATTAACTAAAAATACAATTTTCTGACCAGTTTTCCATACCTCTTTGGCTAAACAGTGATGAGGTTGAGTTCCTTCGAGCAGTCCTCTTAATTAAAACCTAATGCCATCTACTTTTGAACTTGTGATTGAGGAAATGAGGCTGTAATTAAACCAATCAGTTACCCATTTCATCTGTGTCTTTCATACTGGGTTCACAATTTCCCCTGCCTCAGGATGGCCCCCATTTGCCTTTTCTTATGGTGAGACTGAGAGCAAAATGTTCTCACCATAGGAAATGAAGTATGTTTTATCCCGTGTAAGGGGAACAGCAAGCAAATGAGCTCTGGTAACTGACACAATGCATCCTCAACTTGGTTCTTCCTCAGTTAACCTCTGCCACCCCTTACTGTCCTGCAGTGTACAGAATTAGTGCCATGAGCTGAGCCCAAAGCACAGTGCATGTGGTGCTGGGTGTTCAGGAAGCGGAATGCACAGTGTTGCAGGACAACTTGGGCATCCTGTGCAGGGGATACATTTATCACTAAAGGCAGAAGTTTGTTAGCACTAGCACTAAAGCCTGTGGCTTTCAGCTCATCCCTCTGAATGTCTGGGATTTAGTGAGCCTGTGCCCGGTCTTTGCAGAGTCAATGTGGTGAAGCCCCTTGGGAATTCTGCTTAGAAACATGTCTTCTTCCTCCCTTCATACTGCTGCTTCCCTACTGACGAGGCAAAGCAGCCGTCCAAAAAGCATCTGTGACGCTTCTCAAAGATGGAAGAGTCTTGGGATTTCAGTTTGGAAACAAATGAGCTTAATTTCACTGTGCTATTTCCGTCAGAGGGCTTTGCACTGAGGAAGGGAAGAACTGCAGGAACTTTTCCACATGTTGTTTCTTTTCCTGCATTTGCTCTTTCCTGATGAAAAACTAAGTAAGGTCCCTTCCAACTCTAACCCTTCTATGAGGTGTCCCTGCTCATGGCAGGGGGGTTGGAACTAGATGAGCTTCAGGTCCTTTCCAACCTAAACTATTCTATGATAAATAAACCTTAACATGCATTTCCCAGCCATGTCAATCTGATTTTACCAAATCAGATTCTCAGGAGGCAGAGGTAGGTGTAGCTTCAGTGATGACTGTGGGGCAGCACTGATTTATAGCACCTAATGATATGTCCCAGATAGGAAAGAGATCTCTTAAGGCTCGTTCTTTACTCTCTATGATGCAAAATAACATTGAGGGGATAAATCTTACCTCCAGGCAGAGCACCAGGAAATGATTCAGCTGCTTCTCTTAAAGAAGGCAGAGGATTGACATGGACTATCTCATCTGCAGAGTGAGGGGCTGTCCCTTGCTGGAGAGAGCCTCATTGTGCTCAGTTTAATCAGAGCAATCCGTTTGCCTTGAGAAGGCTGGGAGACAGCTCAGTCAGCCCAGGCACTTCAGCATTGCATGACGAGACTGTTTCTGTTTGTGCATGAGAGGAGAGGGGCTGGAGGTGGGGAGGCAGGGGCTGGTTTGAGCTGCTCCCCGTGCTGCTGGAGGGAGGTGTGTGCAGGCGTTGCTTGTGCTGAGGAACAAGTGGACACCCAACAAGTGCTGGTGACGGCGGCAAATTCCCCTCTTCCCTCTGCTCTTTATTATAAGGTGTCAGGACAAACAGCAGCAATATGACGTATTGGAGGGGATGAAAGAGGAGTTCTGGCTGGGTGGTGAAGGCTGAGCCTGATTTAGTGCTGGGTTTAGCAGTGAGCAGTTACACTCTTATTGCTGAGCTACAATGAATAACAAATCCCAATACCAGTGAGGCACCTAAAGATGTTACCAGAGGACGCAGCCCTTGCTAGGTGATTAAGAGCCCTCCAATTGCTCTTCTCTGCTTCAAGATGTATTTCCACTACCTGCTACTATATTATTATAGACCATGTTATTATTCATAATCCCCGTAGTTCTGCCAAGTGAGGAGCTCATGAGCTCGCCAGCACCAGAATGAAATGACCTGTGCAAGCCAAGACCTGCAGGAAGCAGCTGGCTTGGAGGGGACCTCCCTGTCACACAAAGCCACTGCCCTGACCAGTGCTGCTGCTGTGTCCTGGCTCAGAGCACAAAGGCCCTGACTGCTGCTTGGTGAAAGAGTTCTGTGAAGATTCTTATTAAGGATAAAATGTGGAGTGTTCCCTGGGTTGCATTATCAGGAGTGGATGGATCCATATTCTGAAACACAGCCAAGAAGGAAAGAAAGAAAAAAGGATTTATCCTTAAGGAAATATCCAGCAATAGGAATTTTAGGCTTAGAGCTTAGGAAAATCATAGAATCCTAGAATGGTTAGGGACTGCAGGAGGCTCTCTGGATGGGTGGGGATAGATCCACTCCATAGATCTATTTCCCAGTGTGCTATTTGTAGGTGTTTTTCACTGCCTGCTTGTGCACACCCTGGTTTTGTGTTTTGGAGCTGGCTGCTTCTTGCCCTTTAGAGGAACAGGCTTGTGTTCCTGCTGGACTCCAGTTTATGTTTTAGGTGGGCCCCAGTGCAGTCACAGCGCCTGACATTCAGTGCTTGCTCTAGATCAGTATTTGAACAAGTGCTTTAGAGTCCTGACTGCCTGGGACCAGGCATGGCTTTAGTTGGCTTTTTCAATCCAAACAGACTCAGCTTTGTTCTTCTGCTTGTTTCTGGTATGTGCATATCGGCACAGTGCTTACCTGGGTGCTGTGAGCACTGCTCTAGAGAGCAGTGGTTTTATAGCCCAAATGGTGCTGCTGGTCCAAACTGAGGGGTGATCTGCAGGGCAGTGTAGACATCCCCAAATTGGCTCAGAGATGGCAGTAAACTGGAGTATCATCACAGCTGCCTTTGCAGTTAGAGCCTGCAGTGGCTATCATCTCCTCATTCTCTCCTTCACTTTGCTCTCAGCTGGACAAGAAGATGATGGCTGGATTGGCCACCTCTCCTGACTGTCTCTAAACCCACTGTGGGGTGAAGAAAACTTAGCACTTAACCTCCTGCAAATACTTTCCAACTTTGGCCTGTACTTCAGGGGCTACATGGAAAAGTACTTTAAAGAGAGACAGTTTGACAGCTATTTTTAGGTTTTCATTGAGCAAAATGCTCTCCAACATCTGCTCATCAGTCAGTTATCCCTTCTCTGAGCAAACCTGACGGGATGAGCAGAAGGAAGATGACATTGTTTTATGTAACAGAAGTAAATTTACTGGAAAAACTCTGCAGCAGCCTTCTAGCTGGCTCTTGCTGCCTGTTCTATATAAATCTTCAGTCTCCCCTTTGCTGGCTTTTGCTGGAAACCAACCTTCCAAACCCACAAGCTGGATAGAGGATAAGACCTGGGAACTCTGTGTGCTCTTCTCTTTTCTTTTTGCTGTGGTTTTATAGGTGCCTGTTCAGAAATGTGCTGCTTCAGCTTCTCCAAAGCACGTGGCTCGGGTGAAGCAATGAACCAGCACAGGGAGGACAGGGAATGTTCAAGACAGTACGTGCAGCCAATAGCAACCCCAGGGCTGAAAGATGTTCCCCTAAACCATGCAGGGAGCAAGTTCAGAGAGCAGTGGGAGAGGGGGGAAGCTGCCTTGCAGGCAGCCTGCAGCAGGGCAAAGGTGCAACACAAACACCTCGCGGCGCTCACTCAGTGCTGCTGGCTCCAAAGCCAGTGTCGGAAGGAGCCTGGCCCCAGGGGCAGCTGCACATCTGCTTTCTTTGGGTTTTATCTGAGATAAGCAGGTAAACATGAAAAGCAGCATGGAAAAGACATTCCGTATTGTTCCTTGCTGGTTTGAATCCGTATTTGTCCTGCAACGTGGGAACCAGGCTGCTCCCATTCCTCCTGGCCTTGAAAAATGAGAGGGGAAACCCAGGGAAGTGAGTCATCAAGGAGCTCCTGGAAGAAGAGAGACCTAGATTTAGTACATGCAGAAGGTACTCCACAACCCAAGCTTCTCAGCTGAAAAAGCCAGGAAATTCAGGGTAGTGGCATCCTTCTAGCAAAGCTGGACATCACAGAGGTTGGTTCTTTGCCAGGTCGGCCAAAGTTGCATTTCCCATTCATCTCTGTGAAGTTCTCCCTCCCAGGAACCACATGGTGAGGCTGAAGGAGAGTTTATTATAGTGTTCCAATAGTTTGCATTGTGGCCCAGCAGCTGCATGTCACCAGCTGGCGGTTCCTCTGTGTGACTAAGCATCTAGAGTGCCCAAATATAGCCTTCAACTGGAGCTGTTGGCATTTTTTCTCTTCATTTCTTTCTCTCTTCCTATATAATAAAGGCAGCCAAAGTCATCTCATGAGTCCCCCTTGTTATTTCTCTTCAGTCAAGAGGCCACAGTCCAGACCAGGCCAGCATCTGATATTTGGCCTTGCAAAGTTTCCAGTCTAGATGGTGCAGGCAGGTGAAGCACAGGGGGGATGAAGTGGTTTACTCAGTGTCAGTGACAGAGCCAGAAATTCAGCCCAGACACCCAGAGCCTCCATGTGTCACCCTCTCAGCTCAACCACATGTGCTTCAGGCAAGTGTGTTTGAAGAAGTCCTCATGATTGAAGTCCTTGAAGATGCTCTAAGGGTTGGAGCATCTCTCCTGTGAAGACAGGCTGAGAGAGCTGGGCTGGTTCAGCCTGGAGAAGAGGAAGCTCTGGGGAGATCTTAAAGCAGCTTCAGTGCCTAAGGGGGCTACAAGAAACCTGGAGAGGGGCTTTGGACAAGGGCCTGTAGGGACAGGACAAGGGGAATGGCTTGAACCTGCCAGAGGGGAGATTGAGATGAGCTCTGAGGCAGAAGCTCTTCCCTGTGAGGGTGCTGAGGCGCTGGCACAGGGTGCCCAGAGAAGCTGTGGCTGCCCCATCCCTGGCAGTGTTCAAGGCCAGGTTGGACACAGGGGCTTGGAGCAACCTGCTCTAGTGGAAGGTGTCCCTGCCCGTGGCAGGGGTTGGAACTGGATGAGCTTTAAGCTGAAGTGGTGAGTTGATGGGTGAGGCAGGGTCAGCACAACAGGAGACAGGCACAACTCGGTGTGTTACCCTTTTTGCCAGAAGATTGATCTCTTCAGTCTTTTTGGGTCAGGAGATCTTGAGAGCAGAGCTCGCCTACCAGTTTGTGTTTGTGTGGTGTCCAGCTGAGCTCAGGCTCAGTGGGCTTCGTGGGCTGGTGGAGAAGCAGCAAGGAGGATGTTTATTACTGCTCTGGACACTGTGTCCGTGCAGGAGATCTGAATTGTTTCCAAACCTCCTGCAGGTTCATTCTGTGATTCTGGAGAATTTACTGAAATTCTCCACATCCTGGTTCTTCCTCCCTCTTTCTCCACTTGACTTTAACGTGTGTAGACTCAGTAAGGGAGCCTGCTGTGTACAGAGAAGGATACAAAGCCTTTCCTTCTGTCCTACTGGAAAAAGGAAGAAAAGCAGTGAAAGACGATTGTTGAAACAACAGGAGAAAAATCCCCTCTCGTTTTGCACTGTTTGGAGTATCTGCACTACTGGAATGCAGGGCACAGCAATGCTGCTGCTTCCTTCTACGTGGCATTGATCAGCAGCTTGGGCTGCTCCCAGTGGCCTCCCTTGCCTGGGCAAGCCAGAACTCCTACCCAAGCTACTGCATCGCCTTTGGGCTTCCCGACCATCACACAGGACAACAGCCCTCCTGCTTTGGTCTCGGACTCAGGAAGATGAATAGTTGGGGGGATAAACCCTGTTGCCTCCCAAGTCAGGGAATAACTTCAGGAGTGTTTTCCTTCAGCATTTTACTGGGTGCGGAAACAGTGAGGATGGAGAACCCTCCATACCTGCTTCCTGCACCAAGGGACGTTAATAGACAGTCACACATTAATAGAATCCCAGCCTGGTTGGGTTGAAGAGACCTTAAAGCTCCTCCAGTTCCAACCCCTGCCATGGGCAGGGACAGCTTCCACTAGAGCAGGTTGCTCCAAGCCCCTGTGTCCAACCTGGCCTTGAACACTGCCAGGGATGGGGCAGCCACAGCTTCTCTGGGCAATAGAGTGTTTCTCAGCATGATTACAGAATCACAGAACTGTTTAGGTTGGAAAAGACCCTCAAGATCATCGAGTCCAACCCAGGCTGTGAAGCTCTGTGCATACTGGGTCTGGTGCGTCCTTGGCAAGAGCAGTGCTGTGGGTCTGCTGTAGGTTGCAGTAGAACTTGCAAAGGAGATGTTGTGTACCAAAAACAGGACTCGTAGTGTCTCAAGGCAGGTTTTGTGTATTGCGTGCTTACTCATAACAGGAGTTGATGGGACTCTCATGTCATAGCAGTGGTTTTTGTTTTCAGAGCCATCTTCTTGGTTTTAGTTGCTGCTTCCTCAAGAGTGATCTGGGAGCAGCCTCAGTGTGTTTGGGTTATTTTATGGGTTGTTCTTTCTTACTCCTTACAGGGTTACTTAAAGCAGTGCCGGAAGAGGAGGGATATGTTCAGTGATGAACAGCTAAAAATCATCTTTGGCAACATTGAAGATATCTACAGATTCCAGATGGGTTTTGTCCGGGACCTGGAGAAACAGTACAACAACGAGGACCCCCATCTCAGCGAAATCGGACCGTGTTTCCTTGAGCACGTGAGTGAATTGGGCAGGTTGGCTGGGGGAGATGGAAGGTGTAAACGGGGAGCAGCAGGAAGAGTCAGGAGGCAGGAACCACTCAGAATGACTTGTGCATCAATGCTGTTCTGGTTACATAGCAGGGACTACTCCACAGCCCTCCATCTACTTCATGAGATGCAGAGAAGGGAGAATTTGAAGTGAAGCAGATAGATGAATAACCCCTAGAACATTTGAATCCCAACACCTTTTCACATCCACCCTTAATCATGTTCAGGCATGGTGTCCCTCACTTACTCCCCACCTTCTTTTACTCTTTAGAGTATGACTTAAACCCACTCACAGGCCAGCCTAATCAGGTCACGGATGGCCAGAAGGTTGGAAGAGGTAAGAGAGTCCAGAGGAGTATAAGGAGGCCATACTTGTGTGTTACACAGAAAAAGCAGAGGAGAGCAAATGCCTGGGCTGTTCACTGTGGCACTGAGATGCACTTGCAGGGGACGAAAACCCCTCAGAGCTTCAGTTGCCTTCCGCTGCAGAGCTGTTGGGCTGGGTGAGGAGGTGCAGCAGGTACTCACTCGCTCACGCTAAGCGCACACTGAACAGGATGGTTTAACTGACCACATCGTCCTGGAGGCTTTGGCCCAGCCCATTGTACTGTTCCACAAGCAACATACTGCAGGAGCTGATAAATTGACCAGTGCTGTAAATATGCCAGGAAATGTCAAGAGAATTACAGTCCTGCAGTTCCAGACTTTCCTTTAGGGAGAATGAAGTGCTGTTACCAGAGCTCAGCTCTGAGGTGCTCCAGCCTGGGAGGCAGATCCTGCACTGTGCTACCTCGTTACTTACAGCCAGGGCTCAACTGGCAAGAGTTCACTTCTTATCAGGGAAATTTCTGATAGACATTCCTGAAACTTCAGCAGGGCATCCCTGAACAGGTTCACAGCGTCTCTGAAACACCACTGATCTTCTAATTGAAAAGCAAGTTGCATGATGGCATTAACATTGCTCATCATTATCAGAGCCTGCAATCTCTGCTGCTTGCTTCCCAAGCAGCATCATGTTCCACCTCTGTGCAGAAAAGATGTAAGAAATCTTGGTGAGAATCAGTAGCTGAAATTTCATGTCTTGAGGCTGTGCTGTCAGTTCATGTAGAGTGACAATAGTAAGAATTACTGTGGTTATTCAGAGCAATATCTGACACTTCTCTGTCATCAGACAGGGGCTGAAAGCTGGCTAATGAATTCCTGATAGATGATCCCTGTTTAGCCATTTGGGGACACTGAGGGATGAGGACATTAAGATCCTGTTATATGGATCTGCAAAGCGTCTTGCTTCTCATCTGCTTCAGAGAGAGAAGGGTGTCAGCTCTTGGTCAGCTGTGAGGATGGGAGAGAAACCAGGCTCTGTTACTCTAGGAAGGCTTTTATGGGACTGTGAAATAAGGGTTGCTGGTCAGCTGCAGCACAGTGGTTAGTGCCTCGAGTTCCCTGGTGGTAAAGGCAGTTTCAAATATACCCAGCTCCTAAACACTTGCCAGGTGCTTCATGATCTTTCAGGGAAAGGGATGTAGAACTAACAAGGTTCTGGTCTTGTACTGCTGAAGGCCAGAGCTCTGCTTTGTTCTACCATAACCTTCTATAAGGTTGTCTTTTATGAAGACAACCCCACCACACAATTCGACACCGAGAACACCCAGAACACTGCAGAGGGCTTCACGTGAACACAGCCTGTACCTACAGAGACCTCAGCCATACATCAGTAGGCAGGTCCCTCTCTGCTTCCCTTTTCCCCAGAGCAACCATGCAGCAGAGAAGTCCTCTAGGATCAGCCCTTCCTCCTCCTGCTTAGGATGTTCTTTCTTCTTCAGTTGTAACACGTTCTTGTTGGCAATCCGGGTGATTGACTGCTCACAGCACTTGTCTGACATGTACCCTCCTCTGTGTGTATCCTTCTCCTGCCTCTCACAGCAAGATGGCTTCTGGATCTATTCGGAGTACTGTAACAACCATTTGGATGCATGCATGGAGCTTTCCAAGCTGATGAAAGACAGCAGGTACCAGCATTTCTTCGAAGCGTGTCGTCTGTTGCAGCAGATGATTGATATTGCCATAGATGGTTTCCTTCTGACACCAGTGCAGAAGATCTGCAAATACCCCCTGCAGCTCGCAGAGCTACTCAAGTACACTGCACAGGATCACAGGTACGCTGGTCTCCTCCTACACCGAAGGGCTCTGCTCACTGCTGCTTCACGTGGCCTCTGCACACACACAGGGCTGGGGTTTTGCTGTCCAGCTCTTCTCCTCATGACATCTATAATAAATTGAAGCAGGGCAAAGGTTCAGCATACAGTTAGAAAGCTTCTCAAAGCGCCGATTCTCAATGGAGCCAAACTCATCTCTGTTATAATCAGACATGTGAACTAATTACCCTTGGATGTACTTTCTGATGCTACCAGTTACACTTGAAAAATTACCTAATTAGCATTCAGTGGTGAAAGGCTCCTTCCTTTGTCCTGAAGAGGACCTCAGCACATAGCAAGTAGAGGGGCAGGATCTGCAGCTCAGACTCCATCATGCTCAGATCTGGGGAGAACCCAGAACTTGCTCTGCTTTCAGCCTGATTCCACCTCTGATTTTGCCACTGGCTTTGGCTTCAGAGGAGCACCCAACAGTCTGATTAATTCCCAACATTTCCAGGGTCTCTTGCTGCTGCTGCTGAGGGCTATCAACCTGACCACCTGACTTAGTGTAAACCAGGAGTAGTACCTATGATATCACTTGTGATATACTGCTATGAAAATAAGGTGAAATAAGAATCAGGCCCCCTGAGAGCAGATTTTCTCCTGCCTCGCCAATACGCTTTCTTTTTCCAAAACCCATTTTAAAGGAAGTGCTTCAGAGAACAGAAAAGACCACAGATCTTTCAGAAACTTCTGCAAGTGTTTGATTGGTTTTGTTTTTCCCCAAACCCAGCTCTGGAAGTGCAGAGAGATGTGATATGAGCAAAGAGATGCATTTGCTTTGACCTGGTTCATGAGTTTGACTGATTCTTGCTAGCTGAACGCCCAGTTCAAAATCACCAATTTGGACATGCATTTGGCTTCAGATCCAGTTTCTGGTTTTTCTCTTCATAACAAGACCAAATCAATCTTGGAGTCGACTCATGGGAACACGAGGGTCTCAGAAAGCAGCTCTAGGATCCCAAATGTTGTGGCTTTTTGTCCTTACCAGCCCTGTGATGTCCCCACAGTACTTACAGTGTCAGTTCAGATGCGGCTTTACAATGGGAACACATAGGGAGCCTCAGAGAGAAGAGCTCTGTGTTTAAAGTGACCTTCTCAGAGCTGTTTGGTAGCAACACCAAAGGGGATGTGGACAGTGCAATTACACAAGGGTTGGGTTATTTGGGGAGTCCGTTCCTTTTTCCTTTGGGATGTTTTGAAAACAAAATGGGGTGAGTTGTACCACACTTCCCTGGGGTTTAGCTCCTCCGATTCAAGTGTTCAGAGAGCCTGGGAGGGACTGATCCTGCAGGAAACCCAGCTCACATCCCAGACAAGCTCAATGCCACGAGTGAGGAGAGCGAGGCACAGAGAATGCGTTACCACCAGATGATTCTGCACTGGGGCTGTGCAGAAAACCTGGGCTGCAGTGGTTGTCTGCTTCATCTACAAGTATTTTCTGCTTTGGGATTGGGGCTGAGATAAGCAAAGCCTGAGGTGGGAAAAGCAAATCATCGCGGGGAACATCATGATGTGACAATATAAGACACTGGGAAAGCCAGGTACCTGCAGGCTGGGACACCACCAGGGTCACCTATGAGCAAGAGAAACTGAGAAGCCTTCTGGGTAGCTCAGGGGCACATTAACCAAGTGTTAAGTTGCCTTCGTGCAACAGTGCTCACAGTGAGGTTGCAAGTTGGAAACTGAAGCTAGAAAATTACAGGGTGGACTAATACCATGAAGCCAGGCTCATCATTGGCTGAATGAGGAGTCTCTTAGGCACTCTGATTAGAGTTTAATATGTGAAAAATACTGTTTAGATCACTTCAACCATTTATAGAGTAAGGCAAAGCTCAGAAAGGACCAGGAGTGCAAATGAAAGCAAGTATGTTCGCTTCATCTGGCAGCGGGGTGTTATGTTCTGTTTCTTTTTCTCTTCCTCTTCACTAACATCAGACTTGTAGAGCTGTGGATCTTCCCTGCACCAGGACAGCAGAGCTGAAACAGGAAACCTGACCACTCTCCCCCACATTAGCATGTGATGTTTGGCAGGAGTCTAGACTTGCATTCTGATTGAGCCCTGGGAAGTGGTCATTGCAGCCCCAGTATAATTGACAGACCGTTTCTATACCTTCATTTCATAGTTAACCGTATCCCATTATTATTTCACCGGCCAAATGCTTTGCTTCTGTTATTTTTCCTCTGAGTTTTTGCCAGCTCTGCCACAGGCATGGGCCAGGAGCCCAAAAAGTTCAGTCATGACTCTTCCTTCATTACTGCATGAGGTTTGCTCTTCAAACATAACATTAGAATTAGTGAATTAGCATTACCCAGATGAAACCCAGCTTGGCTGGCACCGGCCCGCCCTGCGTGGAGGCAGGCACAGGGGTGTTTCAGAGCCTGGCTGCCTTCAGCTGCTGTTGTTTTGAGACTGCTTTACTGGAATGTTTCACAAAGCCACATCTGTTCACCTCTCAGAGATTCACTGCAGCTTAATAGGAATTAAATACATGAAGGTGTGTGCTTCCTGGTGTCCTGAGCATTCCT